AAGCTGGACCGCTACTCGGAGTACGGGGCGGCCGTCCTCTTCCTCCTCTTTTTCTTCCTCCTCCTCTCCTCCTCTTCTTTCTCCTTCACCTTCCTCCTGCTATTCTCCTCCCCCTCCCCTTTTTTCCTCCCTCTTTCTCCTCTTCCACTTCCTCTTTTCCTCTTCCTCCTCTTCTTCTTCCTCCTCTCCTCCTCCTCTTCCTCCTCTTCTTCTCCTCTTCCACTTCCTCTTTTTCCTCTTCCTCCTCTTCCTCCTCCTCTTCTCCTCCTCTTCTTTCTCCTCCACTTCCTCTCCCCTCCTCTTCTCCTCCTCTTCCTTTTCCTCTTCTTCCTTTTCCCCCCCCTCCTCCTCCTCCTCCTCTTCTTTCTCCTTCTCCTTCCTCCTCCTCTTCTCCTCCCCCTCTCCTTTTCTCCGCCCTCTTCCTCCTCTTCCTCTTTTTCTTCCTCCTCCTCTCCTCCTCTTCTTCCTCCTCTTCTTCTCCTTTTCCACTTCCTCTTTTTCCTCTTCCTCTTCTTCCTCTTCTTTCTCCTCCTCTTCCTCTCCCCTTCTCTTCTCCTCCTCTTCCTTTTTCTCTTCTTCTCTTCTTTCTCCTTCTCCTTCCTCCTCCTCTTCTCTTCCCTCTTCCTCTTCCTCCTCTTCTCCTCCTCCTCTTCTTTCTCCTTCTTCCTCCTCCTCTTCTCCCTCTTCCTCTTCGTCTTCCTCCTCCTCTTCTCTTCCTCTTTTTCTTCCTTCTCTTCTTTCTCCTCCTCTTCCTCCTCCTCCTTTTCTCCTCCTCTTCCTTTTCCTCCTCTTCCTTTCCCTCCCCTTCTCCTCCCTCTTCCTCCTCCTCTTTTCCTCTTCCTCCTCTTCTTCTGTTCCTCGTCCTCTTCCTCCTCCTCCTCTTCTTTCTCCTCTTCCTTTTCCTCCTTCTTATGGGGGGGGGTCGCGGGAGGGGCCGAGTCGCGTTCGGTCGGGGCGGGTCGCTTGGGAGAGTCAACCCCCCCTCGACGTTTCTCTCCTCCCTCCCTCCCCCTCCCCCCCTCAGACCACCACCCTGATCGGCCTGCTGAAGACGGCGCGGCTGCTGCGCCTGGTGCGGGTGGCCCGCAAGCTGGACCGCTACTCGGAGTACGGGGCGGCCGTCCTCTTCCTCCTGATGTGCACCTTCGCGCTCATCGCCCACTGGCTGGCCTGCATCTGGTACGCCATCGGCAACATGGAGGGCAAGACCATCGGCTGGCTCCACTCGCTCGGCGGTCAGATCGGCAAGCCCTTCAACGCCACCACGCCGCACCTCGGCCCGACCATCAAGGACAAGTACATCACCGCCCTCTACTTCACCTTCAGCAGCCTCACCAGCGTCGGCTTCGGCAACGTCTCACCCAACACCAACCCGGAGAAGATCTTCTCCATCTGCGTTATGCTCATCGGCTGTGAGTAACGGCGGGGCCGGAGGGAGGGCGAGGCGTCCCCCTTTTCGATCGGCGCAGGCGGGAGGGGGAGAGGAGGAATCCGGCGGGCTCGCGCTCCGAGAGACTTGATTTAGAAGCCCAGATCCCCGTAGACCGGTGGACAAACCCCCCCGCCGACCTTTGGTTGTGCCACGGCGCCGGGAACGGCTTCGCCGAATGATCCGCCGACCGGCATTCAGGAACGAGATGAGGTGAGGCGAGACGAGGTGAGCAACCAAGATGAGGCGAGACAAGGCGAGCGACCGGCCGGGCCGTGTCCGCCCGTTTCTCCCCGCCAACTTCCAATTCCTCGTTTGTACCTCAGTCGATGTTCGGGACTGTCGCTCGGCTCGGCTTGTCATGGGCGCCGAAGGAATCCCCGCGCCTTAGTTTCGTTCGAGCGACCGTCCGTCCGTCCGTGCCCCCAATTTCTCCCCGTCAACATCCAACTCCTTCTTTGTACCTCGGTCGACGTCCGGGATGGCTTCGGGACGGTCGCTCGGCTGGGCTCGCCGTGGGCGCCGAAGGAATCCCCGCACCTTAGTTTCGTTCGAGCGACTGTCCGTCCGTCTGTGCCCCCAACTTCTCCCCGTCAACGTCCAACTCCTCCTTGGCGTTCTCCTTCCCTCGCGCATGCGCGTCCCCACGAGCCAAAAAGAATTTGGCCAAATTTGGCTGTATTTTGACTGGAGTTCGGCCGCAGAGCCAAACTGCGATGTGGCAACCCTGCTGCGAGCTCGGCTCCCTCTTCTACTTCGTCGGCCTCCTCCAGATCTCGGGGGGCTGTTGACTCTCCCTCTGAGGGCGAGCGGACGGCTCAGGCTCCCCCTCTGTCTCCTCCCTCTAGTAGCTCTGCTCCCTCTTCTACTTCATCGGCCTCCTCCAGATCCGGGGGGCTGTTGACTCTCCCTCTGAGGACGAGCGGACGGCTCAGGCTCCCCCTCTGTCTCTTCCCTCTAGTAGCTCCACTCCCTCTTCTACTTCGTCGGCCCCCTCCAGATCCGGGGGGCTGTTGACTCTCCCTCTGAGGGCGAGCGGACGGCTCAGGCTCCACCTCTGTCTCTTCCCTCTGCTAGCTCCGTTCCCTCTTCCCCATTGGAGCTCTCCCGTTGTCCGATTCCCACTACCGCCTGATTTCGGCGGCCGGAGGGCCCGTCGGTCAACGGGCCGCCCCGAAACCGGGCCCGACGAGCTGGCGCTGAGCGAATATCAAGCCCAGGGCAGTTGGCGCCGTGGATCGAGAGGACTGGAGAGCTTCCTCCCCTGATTTCCCCGCGGAGCGACTGAGTCAAAACGCCCGAGAGGGGATAGCAGCTGACGGAAGAACGGGGGGGTCTCTTTTTTCTCGCCAGCGCTGATGTACGCCAGCATTTTTGGGAACGTCTCGGCCATCATCCAACGGCTCTACTCTGGCACCGCCCGCTACCACACCCAGATGCTGCGAGTGCGGGAGTTCATCCGCTTCCACCAAATCCCCAACCCGCTGCGCCAGCGCCTCGAAGAGTACTTCCAGCACGCCTGGTCGTACACCAACGGCATCGACATGAACGCGGTGAGGGCGAGCGGCCTCTCTCTCTCTCTCTCTCTCTCTCCCCCTTCCTTCCTTTTTCCTTTCTTCCTTTCCTTCCCCCCGTCTCTCTCCTTTCTTTCCCTTCTCTCCTTCTCTCCCTCCCGCTCTCTCTCTGTCTCTCTCTCATTTCTCCCCCTCTCCCCGTTGTCTCGCTCCTTTCTTTCTCTTTTTCCTCTCTCTCGTCTCCGTCGTTTCCCCCTTTCTCTTTCCTTTTTCTCTCCTTTTCTCTCTCTCGTTTTTCTTTCTCGCCCACTTTATTTTTTTTC